TTTAGGGAGGTAGCCTATAATACAAGCTATCGTCCGGTACCCACAAATACATCATACTCCTCTTCATGCCCGAGAACGAGCTGTTGGCGCGAGGGGTGGCTTAAGCGTTCGTTAATTGGCCGGTTTACTCTAGTAATATAGTCTATCTAGTCTACGATATCACAGAAGACAATAATAGTTTACATTGGTTGATCAGAGGCCGGGCATCTTTCCGTCAAGAGGCGGGGGGGGGCAATCCGGCAGACTACTCGTTACCAATGGCACACAGTGGAGTTTTGGAGGAGTTATTGTTGTTGTGGTTGTGTTCACCTTTAAAACAGATCTCTCTACTTAGTACCTTCATCTGTCCGTACTGATCAAACGCTTGAGCGGTCGATCCCCCCCGATTTATGTACAGTAGTTGCCGACACACGCGGGTACATTGTTGTCAGATAATTACGGCGGTTACACGGCGGCGCTGTTGGGTCGGAAAACGCGACCGGAAAAGTCGATGTCAGTGCTTATTTTTCTCGGCGTGGGACGTGTGCTTCAGAATCGAGTGGAGGAGCAGTTCGGTCCACACACGGAGCACTCCCGGCCCCCTGTTTTCTGATGCCCCCCTTACATTTGTCTGACGAGGGCAAGGGTACACCCTCATTCGTCTTAACTCTGTTTCCTCTGTTACTTGTATTGCCAATCCGGTGCAATCTCCTGTAACGAAAAGAGTGTAACGTCAAGTCCCCGACCGTTTGTTTCGCCAGCTCCCGAACGGTGCCGATCAGACGCGATCAGAAAGAGACAGATGCAACACCCTGCGGTGCCTCTTCCGAACCTACCTCATCTACATTTCGGCTTTGCGATGCATCGGAAAACTTGTGAGTGTTGTGACCCAAGGCTACCAACAGAAGGAGCGCCCGCACGAACCCGAAAACATGCATGGCGCAATGCCGCAATACACCCCAACACGATGGACGTGTTGGGAACGCCGAGGGGCCGGCGGAATACACCAACTCTTCTTCCGGAAAACACGAATTCATATTCCTTCCCCTTCCGTTCATATAACCCTGCCTGCATGGACAGGCTAAAAAGAAACCTGTGGGTCTTACCGGCTCTCTCCGAACCACTACGAAGGTCACAAATTTACACTTCGCGGGGTGAACCCCCCGCGTCGCCACACGCAAACCTACGTCACCGTGCCGAACGATGGCCTTGCCGGTTGACCAGGCTTGCTCCGCCGGTGACAATTGTTTTTCTTCGCAGCGCATCTGGTGGTCGAGGGACTCAGAGCGGAGAGTGAGAGTCTCTCTCGTTGGCACTTCAGACCGTTTGTAACCCCGCAGCCGGCTCACTGCGGTATCACCCTTCTCGCCGCATCCTCCTGGAGGGAACCATGCCAGCATCTCCAAGATTTGGCAGAAAAGATTCACGAAGGCAGTCACCGACCGCACCGGGCCAACATATTCATTCAAGCCAAGATTTGCGTGTGCTTCACGGAATATTTTTTCACGGTACGGCTACATCAGCCGATCAACGTACCACTCTTCGGACGCCGACGTCGTAAGATGACACGAGCGCGCCCTTTTGCCGCTGAGATTCCAAGGCCGCGTGGCGGCATTCTGGAGCGGGAACACCCCTCCTTAGCTCGCAAGAGGAAGACGTCCACACTTTCTCATCCTTAGGCCGGAAGATCTCGGAAGCGGAGGCCAGACCCTGCGGACTTCCGGTCACGTGCACGACCACGTCGAGTGTCCCGGCTAGCGCGGTCGCAGAATCTTCGCCGCGGGCGTCCACTACACGTTAGCCCGCCAGAAGGGGCGGGGCACCGCTCACGGCACAGCGCTCAGTATCGTGCCCTTGTGCTGACCCATCAGGGTTGTGGCTCCAGTAACGTTTGCCGCAGCCTGAGTCACGCCCCCGCCTTCTGCCATGCCGGCGTAGCGGAGGCGGTGGTGGTCGCTCTGCTGGCCAGGACCTCGCCAATCAGAAGCCGGAGGACGGCGGCGCTTGGCCTCGGCGACGTGTTGTTCCGACAGATACACGACGTTTCTCGTCGCGGTGACCATTTGTGGAGGTTGTGATAACGCACATGATCCACACGACCAGAAACATCGTGCATCTCACGGGAAATCGCGCCCGAAGTGTACGTACAACGAACGCAGAAACGCCTCGGGCATACGTATATATGAGAGTTGTTTCCAACGTAAGCGTGACGAAGAAGAAGCACGCACTGAAGAACAGGACATCTCAGCAGAAGTAGAAAATCCCGGCTGGAATCTAAGCGCGAAAGCCGTGGACGCAACCGCAACATCGACGACGATGACAACGACGACGATGATGTTACCCGGCTGGTGGTGTGTCTGCAGCACGTGGATGCCCCCTGTAGTAAGAAGTAGGCGTGAAGAGAACGAAGTGTCTCTCGACGTCAGAGCATAAATCATTTTGTGGTTTTACGTTACGGGGAGGAAGAAGCTCTGAGGAATTGTTTAGATCTGAGCGGTAGCCACTTCATTCGAAGTCATTTCCAAACGGCAACAGCCCGAAAAGTCGAGTTTGAAGCTCAGCCGAAAACAAGGCTTTGGGTCTAAACGACGGCGAGATCTTTGGTACGACAGCAACTGCTGCCCACATACGTGCAGCACACGGGGTTTAGCTTTTCACGTAGAGATGGCCATCTATAGGCCTGTCTAAAGAAGGACAGTTGCACAGAAACGGCCTGTAAGATGTACTGTACTGTATCAACCCAAAATTGCATCGCATTACACCCTGGTAGCACCCGTCAACCGACGGCCGCGGATCCCAACGGTTCTGGAAGCGACAACAAACCAAGCAATCAACAAGATGAATCCAAAAGAAGAAATGAAACTAAATGTGGCTGCTGGGACAACACCCTCCTCCAAGAAACCTCCAAGAAACCTTACGAACTTGCACACCTAGGGTTCGCCCTCGCATAACCTCGGCCCACCTGCCCGCCTGCCCGCCTGCCTGTCTATCTGTCTCAGCCTGCCGGAAGCTCCATGTCCATGTTGGAAACACCAGCACCAGCGTGTGCCCAAAACCAGGACGAGCGCTGGCCTTCTTTGTCAAAATTGAAATTCAGAACCGTGGGCGGGTTTCTCGCGCCCTCTAGCCTCGTGATCCGTATGCAGCATTCTTGACATGCTCGATCACAAGCAATGCACGCGTGGGCGTCGTGAAATCCAAACGAACGGGCTTGCACCCCACAACACAGCCCCACCGAGTACATAATAGACGCTTTGAACATCACAGACCGCAGTATCGAAAGGATCCAATGGGGGCCTGCAGATTGGACGATCTTATCATCTGGGGTACGTATCCACCTACACCGGCATCTTCTCCCACAAGCCATATGCCCATCGGGGACCGAGGATTTGTGCCCTTGAAGACATACGCACAATAACGACGCACGCCGTGAGGTCGATGGGCCAAAGCTTGCTGACCGAGTCGGCTATGGAGGACAAGGGGACTGGCAGCGTCGACAGGAGGAGAAGAGCCAGGACCAGCAGCAGGAGGAGTTGTAGACGGCATCCCTCTGCTGCTTCGGCTCTGGTGACGGCGCTGCTTGCTGCTGTTCTCGCCGCGAGGGTGTCGGGCTTCTCAACGACCGGCGGCGGAGGCGCCCGCGTGGGCTGCCAGCAGCAGCGATGGGAAGGGGGGAGAAGATGCCACGTCTCGACCGCGCGACGCAGCAGCGTGCGGAAGGCGCGGGCCCGGATGGTGGCGACCGAGGGGTCGAGAGTGTCCATGTCTCCCGAAAAACCGCCCTCCTCTTCCTCCTCCTCCGTCCCTCAAGCAGCGGCAGCACTGGTGTCTAAAGCCGGGGACGAGCCGGATGCTGCCGCCGCCGGCACGGCCGAGAGCGCGCGGGCCCATAGATTGCGGGTCACCACGTTCTTCTTTTTGTGGTACACTTTCAACGTCGGCTACAACCTCTGCACAAAATTCACGTGAGAGCCGTGGTGTTTCCTTCGCGCGCCTATGGTGTTGTTGCTGGTTGTTGTGGCTGGAGGATCGTATGTATTTTTTAAGCCACATGCGCCCCGCCGCATGCTGGGATACGTGCTAGCGCCTGCCTGTCTGCAGGCGTCCACCCTCTTGGGCTCAATGCGGCAGCTCTTGTGGTGGTGCAGAGAGTCGAACAAGCCATCAAGCAAGAGCCTATGAGTGCTGCATCGGCGGGGGGGGCGATTGCGCCGACGATTCCAAAGTGACGTTGTCGCATATGCATACCTACCCGCACATGAACACCTCATCAGAGGAGAAACGAGTACGCATGTACGTGCCAGGGTGTGTACAGCAGTAGTAGGGGTGCGGAGTCTTTGCCGCTGGCAAGCCCCCCGGTTCCCTCGGGAGGGTGCACCTCGATTGAATGCGCCCCACGCGGTGAGAATCTAAAACCGAGGTTTTGTTTGTTGTGAGAACGCACGTGACGCTTTCGTGCAATCGAGTAGTCCTTTTTTTTTTTTTGCGTTTTACATGAAGTTCAAGACAGTCATCTTGACCACGGTTCGATCTGTGCCATAGTGGCCTAGGCACATCGACTCCCGTGAATACCCGACAAGTTCCCGTGTGCTTGTTTAAAAAGTAAACATAACCTCACAGAAAGAGTACCCGTTCGAGATAAACCTCAGTCGAAAGGGATGTGATGAAGTCTTTTCAGTAAGTGGATGGAAACCAACTGGAGACTTGGCTTATTTTGTGTTTGTGTGAGCCTGACACTGAGTTATCAGTAATGCCAATTGGAGCTAAGAACAAAAGCATCTGTATAGGCGGATGCATTCTTACGTTTATGTGGAATGTGGCCTTTACAGGGAACATGGCGCAGTGTCGTTTGACAACTTGCTGGTGTTATATAAAGTACTTCGCTGCTGTTTTNTGTTTGTGTGAGCCTGACACTGAGTTATCAGTAATGCCAATTGGAGCTAAGAACAAAAGCATCTGTATAGGCGGATGCATTCTTACGTTTATGTGGAATGTGGCCTTTACAGGGAACATGGCGCAGTGTCGTTTGACAACTTGCTGGTGTTATATAAAGTACTTCGCTGCTGTTTTTGGCGACTTGAATATAGACTTACAGTTGACCCCGCTTTAAGGACGCTCACATGAAGGAAATTCCCCGCTTAAAGGAAACTTGTTTTGCTGAGCATCAGGGGGCCCGGCAGAATATATGATAACGGGGGGACCCCCATTTTTTATACCGCTCACCCCCTTGTCTGTGTCCTGTGGGCCTGCGGGCCGCTCTTTGCACGAACCACGCACCACAGTGAGTGCAGAAGTAGCGACGCACAGACAGCGTACGTCGCGAGCGGCCTGCTGCTGCAGCTGCAACTGCGTGTTGGTATGGATAGATTCCTCCCATCTACCGGCGGTCCATCTGATGCCGCCAAAAAAAAGTCGTGCATTACGTCGTTCCTCACCGAGGACGAGGGTATCTCTCGCTTGGAAGACGTTCGATCCTACAGTTGAGAAACGTCAAAATCGGTTCGAGCCTCAATCCCTTCTTTTGGGTTGAAGTACCGACCCAAGTTGTCCATTTTCGTAAATGGCATCTCTTCTTCCTGTAGACTGTCGCATCCTCCCGATTCTCTTGTCCCTCATGAGAGGTGGTGGAGAGTGCCATCAAACCCGTACAACAGCGGAGAGCATATGGTTGTCCGTGATGTGTGGCAGCACTACAGTACAGCACTTACTGTGAACAGCAGGGGCGCGGGGGGGTGGGGGGACTCTGCCCCTTGCAAAAAAAATGCACTTCTGTTCAGCTTCGGAGGGAGGTGGGAGCACCGCAGTCTGATGTCATGGGGGTATCGCACCATCATGTTTCTTATTGGGGCGTTGCTTACGTTGTGGCCGAGATTGAGATTTTTTTTTTTTTTAAGCCCTTTTTTCTTATTTTTCATACAAACTTGACCCTTTTTCTAAATAGATTTTTTCTTCACTGCGGGCTCTATCTGTAGTTGTACGCGAAGGGAAGGGGTGGCGAGTACCGTGAGACGCACTACCTTCTTTCGAAGACCGTTCATTCGTTTACTCATGAAACTCAACAGAGCCGTAGAGCCAAGCCGCGGGGGGAGGTTCAGGGCACTCTTCGCGGTATGTGGAAGGAAAGCCATCAGGGTAGCTTTTGGTCTCCGCCGGGACAGTGATATTTACTGGTGTTCCTCGGTGCGACGCTGATATACGCTCGTTTTTTTTGTTTCACAAGAATGAGTTAAATATATGTCTACTTGGACTTTCCTTCTTCTTCCGCTGCCGGCTATGCAGTACATTAGTTGGCCAAGTACAAACTGGTGTACTGCAGCTGTAGTTGTTTTCAACACGTCCCCGACTGCTGTACATCTCATTTCAAGTATTGTAAATATGTTCTACGTCAACAAATGGTTGCCAGTCGTCTCGGCGATGCTGACTTGTCGTACCACCCCCTTTCTTAGCAAAAGACGCGTAGTTTGAGGTATAGCAAGCCTCCATTGGCCCCGGGGATGGTGAGCTGTCGTCCCCTGAATTTTAAGGACGCAACCCCGCTTCAAGGACGCTTTTTTTCAGGAAAAATCATGTGCGTCCTTAAAGCGGGGTCGACTGTATGTATCTACAGCTATTGGACTGTTGTACTTTTTTTTTTCCTCCCATCATTGGACTCCATCGTCTGCCCCTCTGGCCCTATCCTCCACTTCAACTAGCTAGACGACCCAACCGGGGTCACACAGGAGGGGGGGCTTGGACCCCCCTCCTGCGGTTCCTGCCTGAGATATTTTTATCGCGAGAAGCGTACAGCAATCCCTTCCCTCGCGACTTACGAAGTCGATTATGGTTTACTAACAACGAGCTTTGCAGCGCGTCGCTTTCATCCTAGACCAGGATTTGTTTAGTGAGCAAAAACTCACTGGCGGGACTCGAACCCATCACCTGACCCTTAGCAGACTGCGAGGGTACCCACTAGGCCACCGGGGCGACCGGTACATGTACACGCACCACAAATTTTTTTTGTTTGCCACTGCTACATATCTGTATCAACCACCCCATTTGCTTAAATCATTTTCTTCGACTCTTGTTTTATCAGGTTTATATATTTCTGCAGGAAAATTAGCTTTTTTCAGAAACATACCATACTTGCTGACTTCAAGATGCATAGGAGTAGACTATATACGACGACACTAACTTTGCTTGTGCACGTTTCCTTCCCCTGATACTGCTGCTACCTGGCCCTTCTCGTCTGCTGGAACCTGTCCTACCCCTCGCGCCGCGCCCACTTCATGCTACCAACTACTTACTTCAGTCTTACGGGTGAGGAGGTCGCTAGTGCTGGCAGCACAGACCCGGTGTTCCTTTTGGAGTTCACATGTACATGAGGCATCCGTGCGTCACGCTTCTACACATTGGACGAAAGAAGGAGGAGCTGCTGTTCGACAAACGAAACGACAAGGCACTATGTAGTACTTGTAAATATTGCGTCACGCTTTCTTGTTGGAAACCTCGTCCGGCAGGATGAAGCTAAAACCAGCCTGGAACATCTATGGACTGCTTTGTGATTCGTGAGACTTTCGACATCTTTGTGTTAAATACCGCAGGGTCGTAACAAGTACAACCTCTTGAATTTTTCCGAAGACTGTACCAGGGACGAACGGATCTCCAAAACGCGCACACTACAATGCTGTCGTCTGACTGGAACCATTTGTTTTTCTTGTCATGAAATCATATCAGCGCTCACAGCACTCGCTTCGTTTACTCCAACCGGTGGTCACACAATAAACAACGAGTATTGTGTCTGTTTTTCTTCGGGTTGGCTTCTTGCCCGCTGTAGCGTGACCGTGTGTCTTGGCCTTGTCGACTTGCTTTCTTGTCGTGTGGGTATTGTTTTGTTTGCCTGCCGCGGGTGCGCGAAGAGCTATGTTGCGCATTGCTGTAGCCTCTGCTGTTATGTCGCGCGCTGCTGCTGCTGCCGCCGCCGCGCAGGCTGCGTGTGGCCATGCTGCCTGGCGTGTTCACGTCAAGCAGCAAGTCGATTCTCGGCGCCCACCACCACTGATGTGTATTGCACCTCTCGAGCTCTTCAATGTCGCGCTATTGTAGAATTATTTTAGAATCTCCACGGACGAGATATGCTGTACACCCCTCCCCCGATCTTCTTATTCTCATGTCGCCGCGCTTTGTGTACGTGACTTACGCCCACGCCCATGCTAGGGACAAAGCGTTGACGAGCCGAGCCGACTGCTGTAGAGACTCAAAAACACTATCATCGAACATGATCCGTGATACAGTAGAGAATCTCATACACCGTCATGTGGAGATGTGGTCCACGTGATGGAGAGGATCGAAAACATGTTGGTGGTGATGATATTGTCTTGGCTGAAACGACGGCTCGGCCGCGTCGTGCAGCCGTTTCGATGACGATCACGCCTCCCGACTGAACTCCTGGGAGACAAGACCCCCTGTGTTCCCTGACGGCCGAAAAATAGAGAACGGAATTTCCGTACTCGACGTATGTACCCTCTTGGTCGCTGTATCTAAACAACTCTTGTCGTGCTTTGCGCTTGTCGCCTTGGACTGTTTTGTCGACAGCGCTACCGTTGCCGTTCACTCTGGCGGCGATCCAGCTGCTGGTGGGGGTGCCGTACGTGTGGATGCTTTGGCTGACGGGCATGAGGAAAGCTCCAGAGTTGTCCATATCCAAGGTGATTGTTATTGTTTCTCGCCTCCCCCCTCCTGCAGGAGATGCTTGAGGCATGATAGAGAGGAAAGGACGGTAGCTGTACTGGGGCATAGGAGGTGGTTTAAAAAGGCGGGAAGGGATATCGTTAGGAAAGACAGACTAGGGAAGACATTCTCGAGCCACCTTTGGCAAAGTAGAAAGGAACGATTGGCCATCGGTGATCGGTCCTGTGGGAACAATGCTCCGTCCTCTCGAGGACGCGTGGTCAATGGTCNACTCTTGCCGGTGGTGTTGTCATTCTGGCCATTGTTTTTTCTGTAGATGATGGTCGTCGCAAGCCCAAGAGGCCTCCATGTACAATCAGGCCAGCACTTCAGACAAGCCTTTGTTCAGAATGCGCCACCGCTGTTGAGAAAAAAGCTTCAGCGTTGTTTTGCATGAGGCTCGTTTCTGTTTTTCCTCTGTGGGGTGAACTCAACAGCGAGCAATATGTATGTTCATATCGTTCTTTGTGTAGGGTTGTTAACTGAGCGCCTGTTCTTGTGGTCAAGGTCTAAAGTTTCGATCTTTTTTTGAGCCTGATATTCTTGTTTAGCTCCCAGGTGGTGGCGCCTTTTATCTCTGAGAACAGCGAAATGTATAGCACCATAGTAGTATTTGCAATTGCATGTGCATGAGCCAAAATTTGAGCCGGTGCCTCTCTTCCGTCGTGCGTGTTGAGATCTTGTCTGTGCTGATGCCGATTGAACCGCCAACGATCGCAAACCACACGGTTCGGGATGCGTATGCGGGATGCCCTTGCAGAGATGCAGCCGAACCAGCAGTGATCGCAGTGGCCGTCGTCTATACGTCAAGCTCGTGACAAAAAATGACCCCGATGATAGTGAGCTACTACTCGATCCCTCTTTTGTTCCTGTCGCTGGGCATCGTTCGGGGTGTGTTGTGCTTTACCGATGGTTTTGTCGCATGTGTTGGGACGGACTAAAAATATCTGATTGGATGACGGGCATGGCTGAAACTGTAGAAACTGCCGTGGTTTGTTGTGCCCAAGGTGAAGGGGACCACTCCGGTGGCAATGGCGCATACCATGGCGCACCTGGCGGCAGTGGTTAGCATCGGAGCGGGCGCGGTCGGATTTGTGCAGGTGCGCTTCGGTTGTTTTAAAGGGGCGAGGGGTGGGTTGCTCATCTAAACGCATGTCGTAGTCGTTAGACCATTGACCTCGCATCCCTACAAAGCCGGGACGGAGCACGCCGGGTTCTCACCGGACCAGGCTCTCACATCACCAAGCGCGAAGCGCCGTGAGATATTCGGCGAGTCGCATGAAGGGTGCGCTGCATCCTGCTAAGGGTTTTCGGCATCTTGTGCTTACTTCCTTGCGTACGGATGACAGCTGCGTATGAATTAATTTATTTTCTGGTGCTTTCACTTCCAGAGACAGTTGTAAGCACTGTGTAACTGCCTCGAGGGTGCTTGACCATTTTAACACAACGTGGTGCGATCATCCCCCTTGCGCGGAGTGAGGGTTCTCCACCCCGCACAACATGATCTACTCGACCACCATTATGGTTACCGCCAAAAAAAAAAACGGAGGTAAAAAAAAAACGGTAACCTGGTTGCCGAGCCCACGAAGTGAATTGGCTTGTTTTACAACGTC